GTAGTATTTCTTTTTAAATAATAAAAAATCAGTAACACAGTCACCTATCTTTCTTCTGACCATTGTCAGGCTCTAAGCCAAATTAGAATACCCTTCGCATAGTGTGCGAGGAATCGTTTCCTGGTTGTGCTCAGATCTTGGCCAGGCTAATTGCCGAGCCATGAACATAAACATCGGCCGATGTTCGAGGGAGTCGGGGGATGGGAGAGGGCTTCGCTGGGGACGCTGCCATGGTCATCGTCATCATGGGCGATTTATGATTGCATTTCCTGTGACTGCGACTGTGTGCTGCAAGCCAAAAACCCAAACGCGAATTGATCGGTCACCGTTGCTTTGTCGCCCATGGTGCCACCATGGGACTAGTTGGCGGGCCAACGGAAATGCCACCGCGGTCGTCGGTCGCCGCTTCCCAGTTCTCATTGATATTCCATAGAGACGGATTGCCGACGACTTCGACCCTTGTCTAATAAGGTATTAATAAGTTTTTGCCTTGGCCAAGACCAGACAATTGCCGTTGCATTCTTGGGCTTCTTTGTTGGTTGTTAGCCGTTTACCGATTGTTTTTGTTGATCGTGCTGCTGAATTTTAAATGCATGATTACCAATCCACACTAAGCAGCATTGATTTTATGGATTGTGGGCTTGACTACCTATAAAGCGGGAATATGATTCTCAGAATGATGAAATATAAATCATTGGCATATACTTAGTTTATCGTAAATATTTTTCTATCATTAGATATATGGGCAATAAATTGGTCATCAATTATTCAATAAACATGCATATAATGATTTAAACACAACTGCAATATAAATAATAGTTCTTTACATTCATTTTTGAATTTACTGCATAAGTCTGGGCTAAAAAATATTACTTATGACCTTGACTAGGATTCTAGGAAAAGGGCTTCTAAAATTTAAATTAAATTTTATAAGAAACTTTTAAAAGAGCAAGTCGATAAAATAAGTTATTTTTGATTTTATAAATACTCATAGAATCCTCATTGGAAAAGCCCTTTTTTAGGCTTAAAAGTGTTTATTGGCTTTTCCCACCAGCGAAATTATTTTGTTCTTCAACACTTTTGCTGTTCAGTGTAAGTTTAAGACGATGACACAGACAATCTGACTGATGCAACAAGCTAAAATTAACGTATGAATGTCAGATTGCTGCTGTAGCTGTTGCTGTTGCTGATGGGTTGCTGTTGCTGTTGCTGCTGCTGCAACAAAGGTCAGCCAGCGCGTGCTGTTGCTGTAGCTGTTGCCAGTTGACGTGACCCGTTGGCCAAGCCAATTCAAGTCGTTCTGGAAGTAAAGTTGCGGCTAAGAGTGGTGATTAATCGGACACTTGACAAAGATGCGTCAGGTTGTGGGAATCGAGCGGAGTCTGCGACCTTAGCCGAGAGTCCGACTGCTGGTTTTGAGATTTGCCATCGATTGGCAACCACTTGGACTGGCCGGACCTGCAGTGGTCACTTGTGACACACTCGAACGGGCTACGTGAGATTGGGGAAATTGGCTAGAGAGATGGACAGGCGGGGCAGGAGGGGCAGGGATACCAGTCCTGGGCCTGCTGCAGATGCCAATCGAGAGATAACCACACACAGATACAGGCACACACTCACACTGGCCTACAATTTCAATACAATATTTGAAATAATTGGCTACAAATCGTCATTGCAGTTGCTGCCGTTGCTGGTTGCAGTTGCTAGTTGCTGTTGCTAGTTGCTGTTGCTGCTGCAGCTCGTAGGCCACAAATTGCAGTCGGCTTAAACTGCTGCTGCTGCCTGACCTACGACACCATCTCTCCTCCCCCAAAAAGATTGCCTCAAATTACTATTGATACTGATAGCAACTGCAACAGCAACTTGCAACTGCCAGCAGCAACATCAGCAGCATCAGTAACTTTTGTTCTTGTTCTCTTAATGCGTTACGGTAAATATTTTTGTCTTCATTTTTACTGTTAAGATCGAGATGAAGTTGAGGCATCATTCCCTGTCTCCTTCCTGTTGGTCAATGTTGCTGGTTGCCGGTTGCAAGTTGCAAGTTGCCAGTTGCCAGTTGCGGCTGGACTCCAATTAGCCAAGCACTCCCCATGCAACACATGCGGGCTTTGATGGCTTAAAAAAGAGGTGGGGGGAAGGGAGGGGTTAGGGCCATCGAGGCTTGGCCAGGTGCCAAGAACTCAATCATTGCATTTGTTGAAACAATTGATGGTTGCTTAATGTGCAAAACGTGAGTCCAATTTGCATGACAACAGCAATAGCTGGCAGCAAACAGCAACAAACACAACGGGCAACCTTCATTAGGGGAGAAAAAGTATAAGTATTCTGCGCCGAAAGATTTGTGCAGCATTTGATGTCGATTTATTTTAAATCGAAGTCGAACAATTTATTAAACTCTTGCCCATCGCAAACTGCGCAGATCTTTAGGGATGGCAGCGGGCAATTTAAATAGATGTTAAGGAGCAAGTTTAATCCCGATTTATCTATTTTATTATGTTTTTATTTCATTATTTTTAAGGGGAATAAAACTATTTGAACATACAAATATTTAAAACTAAAAACAATATTTATATCTCTATTACAACTATTATAAGAAAAGCTTCACAAATTAAAGGGATTTAATGTTTGTTTTGAATTTATGATTTTAGAATCTTGTTTAAGCTCTATTTATTTTTTTGAAAATCAAATTAAATGAAAATATATTGTAAAGCAATAATTCATTAATTCATTTCATTAATTTGATATTCAAACTAACCACATTGACAATAATTTTGTATAATATCAATTAATCTATTAGTTTTTTTTTTTTTTTTATTAACGTGTGGCTTAGTATTTAATACTGTCCCTTGTGGACAATCAATAAATGTGGTGGTGAGGTACTTCGCTTATGGTTATCTATTAGTGAGAGTTTAAATACAAACACAAAACCTAATTCAGTTGAATGAAAACATTACAAAGGGATAATAACATATTTTTGAATCAAGATTATTTTCAAAGTACTTTATGAAGATTAGATCTTAACTATTTTTTGTTTACCAGGGAAAGTAAATAAAAGTAAGTTACCAAAGTGCAACCTATCCTCATCTTTCAGCTGCCTGGTGACCCCGATTTCGATCTCCCTTTCGTGTCACGCAGCCATCGCGAGATGCTCACGCTCTTTGGCGATGGCTCATCGGCTGCTGCTCCATTGCATAGGTCACGTGTTTCGTCGTGTGTCTGGCCAAAATATCAGCAATTGAACTATAGACATTTTGGCCAAATGCAGTAAGCAGGCCAAAATGCCGCGATCCCTCTTTTTGTCTAGCGGGAGTGGAGTGGAGTGGAGTTTCGGTTGCAGGTCGTCGCATCTCGGCAAATGTCAGATGCAAATGCGAAAAGCCAAGAGTCTGCCTGGCACCTGCTAACTCTTGCACTTTTCGCTGTGGCAATTTCTTTTGCCAGTAACAGTGTCAGTCATAATTAATACGCTTAATTTGAGTTAGTTAGTCTCGCTGGGAGGCAGGTTCTCGGTGGCTTCATTAAAAAGCCATTAGTGGGAGATGAATTTCGCTGGCCATCATCCGCCACCGCCACCCTTCCCAACTTTCTAATTAGAAACTTTTCCAATGGAGAGCATAAATTTCAGCAATGTTTGTTCGGTTTCCGATACAATCAAAGACAAGAGCTGAGTGTTGAGTGTGTCAAACAATTTAACTGCCTTCGGTCTTGGTCTTGGCAAGTTTGCGTGGGAAATACCGTCGATCGTCACGATCAAAAACGGCGACGGGAAAACTTCACCGTCAACTCCAAGTACATGGAAAATGCAAAGTTGATTTTATCGCCGCCTCTAACTCGGTCTTTGGCTCTGTGTTACTGTCTTGGTCTAAACTGATTTGCCACTTGACAAATGAGTTGACTGCCACATGTGCAATTTGGAAAACAATCCACCCACTTTAGGCCGCTTTTCCCCCCCTTCCCTCTTCCCCTTCGATCCAGCAATTTTCCGACCGAGCCAATTTTCCTCTATATCAGGCTAATGCAAAGGAAAACAGAGCGAAGCTAAACAAAAGAAATTCTCCCGCTTTTGACTTTGACAATTTGCGCATTGATTTAGAAAATAGCTCTTCCACTGAATTGGAGCGCTCTCCATATGAAAATGACATGGAAAACAGAGGAGAAAAGTGCAGCTATATAAGGTCAGTTTTGGGAAAGTTCAACCATCAAATACTCTTATTCATTATTTAAAATTTGAGTTTTTCTTTTTAAAAAATTACAATTTAAGCTATAGTTAAATCTTATAATAAATTGTTCTTTACTTGTGATTAAATAAATTGTTAACGTGCATATATGCAAAAAATACATATTTATTTATAGTTACATTTTATGGAAACATTACTTAAAGGTTTAAAAGAAAAAAATTTTAATAAATTTTTTTTTTTCAAAATGTGCTCAGATTATACCCTATAACGCAGGGTATTAAATAGAAAAATTGGCCAGAAATTGAAGCTATCAAAAAGGAACTTGCCCAGTTAACCCAAGACAAAGAGTTGGACTAAAAAACAAAACGGAGGCAAAGCGCAACGAAATTTCTGTTTCGGTTGTTTTTTGTTTATTTTTTTCTTTTATTGGTAGGATGGGGCTTTGGTGCAGGAAAAAAGTCATCATAGCTTGACCTTCATTGTTGTGTTGCTTCTAACATTTAAATTTGTTTTGCTTTTCCATTTTTTTCGGGTCTGCTGTGCTGCTTTTGTTTTGGCTTCTTTTCGATTTCAACAGAAAACGTGCCAAATTTGGCTGCCAGTTGCACGTTCCCCAAATTTAATACAGTTCAGCTGGGTTTGGCTTTGGGTCTAGCTTTGACCTGGTCTCCGCTCCATGGGCTATGGTCTCTAGTCTGTTAGCAAGCTCTTGACACACATCCAGACCCTCGTCGGCCTTATCAGGGTCTTATCAGCCGGCGACGTTGAGAACTGGGGCCAGAGGCAGTCGAAATCAGGGCGACAATTCAGTCGGACGCAGCATCTCTCTGTGAAATGTTGGGCATTCTGAGTCTCTGGCTTATTCTCCACCTATTTCGCCTCATCCAAGGGCGTTCGGTGGGCGGTGGCACGGGGAGCTTAGAGGAGGAGGTGATTTTCTGGCTTCTAAGCTTTATTTCAAATACCATAATTTAACTCGTTTACTTATAGTTTTTCGTACCCCAACCTGATCCCACTATCTTTGCCTTCAATCAGACCGATAAGGGGATGCCCTGGGACAGTACTTGGCAGTGAAATGCTTATTATTATTATTTTCTTTCTATAAATTCACAAATATATACTCATCTAAGTAATTTGGATTTTAGTTTTATTTAAAGTTGTACTGGCTCACATTTATTTGAATTTATAACGCAGAAGTTACAAAGTATAATTGTTCATATGGCTTATACATTTGTCTGACCTTTTGAATTTACATACAATTAAGTTGAGCCTTGACGTAGGCATATGTATTTGACAATTGGATCCAATTTAATATGAACGACTTATATGAAAAATCAGACTAAAGGGGGTTAAGCTTGAAGAGTTAAGTCTCATTTGTCTAATCAAATAGTAACGTCAAGTATTTCAAAAAAGATTACATACAAAATTGGTTGATTGAACATACTTTACAACAAAAAACTAAGCAGATTTATAATTCTTATTTACTTGATTTAACAATTTAACAATATATATGCCTTGAATATGAAAATCATCAGAATTTTGAAAGGGATTGTCAAACTTTGGTTTTCGTTTTTTATTGTGAGAAAAGAAGCGAATAAATTTCTTGCACTGCAATTCATATGTGTTAGAAATAATTAAAATAGTAAAGTTGGCTTTGGTTTAATTTGGTAAACAGTAAAAGTATAAATCATTGATTTCTTTTGAACGTATGGTTATTTATTTATTCTAAATAAATATTAAGAAAGTGTGCTATTTTCCTAGAACCTAAAGGTGTATACTCCTCCGGCTCCAAACTGAGGTCGGCTATTGCCATAGGGTCCTCCAAGGTGCTGGCCATACGATCCCGTAGCGTCGAAGGAGTGGCGTCCATTCTGGCTCTGCCAAACTGGAGCACGAGCGTTGAGGTTCAGATCAAATCCCTGCTTCGGGCTTCCACCGCCACCACCATTTAATTGGAACTGGCGACGCACCCTTGGAAAGGGCTTAACGTCGAAATTGGGTGCATACTAGAAATTATAACACTTTATGAACCATGAACATTAAAAATCTTTCTTTGGTAACTTACCGCCAAGGGTTCAGGAGTTAGGTTTACAATCTCTCGGGGATCAGGATGAGGATAGGCCAAGGCACCAGAGAAGACACAGGCACAGGCCAGGCCAATGAACAGGAAACTGGAGGCAAATTGCATTTTGCTTTGGTTAGACTTTGTCAACTGAATACGGCTGGAATCGTAATAAGGTCTTATATACCCCAGATCGGTGTCTTATCAATCTTGGCAGAAGATTCCCCAACAGGGAATCCCATTCTAGCCGACGCCAGTTCAGTGGTTCACTAGTGGATCCCCACATCTTATTGATAAGATGTCCGTGTTGGTTCTACAAACAGAGGCAGCCGACAAAGTAAATCCCAATTAGAAACAATGAATTCAGAGGTATTTGGCTTTTAAAGTCATGCATGGGTGGCAGCTGTGATAATAATCACCCAATACGGTTAAAGGGGGAGTACTCCACTTATTACCTCTAGGTACACTCACAGCTCGCAGAAAAAAGAACCTCAAGCACGCATATATATTTTATTTGCATCACTTTTTCATTTAACAAATACAGAATATTCCCCATTGTAAACAAACTTTTCTTATGGACTTTCGAGTTTTAAAAAAATTGCTCAAAGTTGACAAAATTACGTTTTGAATCATTTTGAACCTCAATATAATGAAAAAGATTTAGGTTTTCAAATTTTTTAACAATATGGTCAAGTGCAACTATGATTCTACATAACTTTTAGTAGCAAGAGTGCATAGATTTATAATCAGTATAACGAAATCTATTATAAAAGTATGGTGTTAATAATTAAAAAGTGTACCTGAGCCTGGGACCAAGTCCCTGAACTCAAGATCGTATTCTTAGGACCACCCTAACTTTAAGAAATTTCTAAAGCTTAAACCTGATTAATCATTTTTTATTAAATAATAGTGACCCCAAGCACTATTTGTAATTTGTGCAGCATTTGTTATATGTGCAATTAACTTTATGGCTTGCTTTTAGTTATTTAAGATAACTTTACAATTATTCTTTGTCTTTCTAGCACTGACTTTCTGTGTGATGACCTGATTTTAAATGCATACAATAAATCTTAAGCTATTGTAACACTTTTTCTCAAGCAGCCAACGCAAGTTTGTCTTCTTTTTTAATCACTTGTAACATCTAACAATTTAAAAAAGAATTTCTGATTTCGCCAAAAACTTATTTACCCTAAAAAATAAAAATAATCAACCCACAGGTTCCACTTCCCCAGGCCAAGCTTAGTTTCCCAAATCAATTCATCATTCTGCAAGGTCAACTCAATTTAGCTTTCCTTAGGTCAAATTAATGATGTGAAAAACATTTGGTAATCTTCCAATTTGGTTGTAAAAGAGTTTAGAACACAGCCTCTTCATGAATCATTTTTTGTCCATTTGAGCGAATCTTATTCGCTTTCATTGGGGATTGCGTAATATTTTAATCTTGGGGTTAGGCTGCGGATGTTGCGGACGATGCGACAGCGGCATGATAAATTTCCATCGAAGGTTCTTTCGACAGTTTACGCAATAAATCCAATTAGCAAAAAACATTTTGTCTTGGCAGGTTTCATTAAGACCGCCTGTCATCGTAATTTGTTATTACCCAACGGAGTTGGCCAAACAAGATGTATCAACAATTAGCCAAACTGCAAGATCATCTGTGACCCAACCTCTGTCTCTAGAAGTCTGCCTGAATGTTCCGGGGTAAACAAACAACGCCAAGGACTTTGATGGCATTTAAGATAGGGAAATTATGGTCAGGTATACGTATGGCTGTATTTGGTAATATATTTCACAAAAATATGAATATGGTTTTTATAAGCTGAAACCTATAGCACTAAGTGCCGACTTTGATGACAGTTGAGATAGAGAAATTATGGTCAGGTATACATTTGGTTATATTTGGTAATTTATTTCAAAATAAATATGAACATTGTTGAACTTAAATGACAGTTTAGATAGAGAAATTATGATCAGTTATTCATTTGGTTGTATTTGATAATATATTTGGCGAACAAATTTCATGCCACAAAGTGGAAACTAAAATCTAAAGCGGTAGATGCCTCCAAAATCATAGCTGGGTGGTGAGTTTCCATATGGTCCGCCCAAATGCTGGCCATATCTTCCAGTCAAATCGATCTCGTGGCGTCCGTTGTCGCTGGTCCAGATATTCTGTTGACCTTTAACATTAAAGCCGAATCCGTCGCCTCTCTCGCCTCCTCCTCCGCCTTGCAGATTGAGAGGATACTGAGGTGGTGGAGTGGGCTTCATGGTCAGATCCTCGGGCATCGGATGGGCCAAAGCAGCGCCGATGGCGCAGCTCAGCAATGCGAAGATAATGGTGGACTGCATCTCGGCTGATCTCGTTGAGAGGACTTCAATCTGGTGACTGATAATTCTGGTGCAGTTTTAAAGCGCTTTTATAGGCCCATCACCAAATGAATCCCCGATGTAATCTTATTTACAAAGCCACCTGCATTCTCATAATTTTAACTTAAGACCGATTGCAGGTCAGCTAAAGGGATTCCCCAAGTTGCCTTTATAAGCAACAAAATTGATCTTAATTTAATATTCTTTGTATTAAATAAAGAAAAAGCCAAAAACTGAAAAATTTCTTATTCAAATCTTAAAGGAATGGGGGTTGTACTTCCTCAAACGGAAATATTGTAAATGAATTTCTTTTGGTCTTAGTATACAATTTAACAGTTAAAAAATCGATTTTATTTTAAAAGATAACTAAGGTTAATATAACTAGACAACCTATTTTAATTTAATTATATTTTTATATTTTATATTTCCTCCCTTTAAAAAAAATATAATTAAGAAAATCAGCGTTTACTACTTTATAGATCTCAAAAAGGAATAATAATAATAAGATACTCAACAGATTATTATTTCTTATAAACCCATCCCTATGTATTTATTCATATTTTAAAATGTTGAACTTTTAACACCGCTATGGATTAAGTGGAAATTGTAGCAGAAGCAACCGCGACAGATAAAGACCCATGTGTGTGAGCAAACAAAAATACAAACATCAATATTTAATACACATTAATTGATTTAAAGCAGAGGGCATACGTAAACACGAAAACAGTTTCCCAACAGAAGTCGACGAGGCAGCAAAGAGAAATGTTGATACAATCGATATTTATTAATATTTTGGCCATTCTTTTGGTCTGCTGGGTCAGTACAGAGTACTAAAAAATACAAATTTATAAAAAAATTCATATATTGTATTAAATTAACAGCTGGGACACGTCACTTGCCAATCATCAGCCGATGATCAAGAGCTTGAAATCGGAATAAAAGGAGAAGGACCTCCGGAAAAGCAAGAGTTTTCTTGGAATTATGATGAACAGCAAAACTGACAATTCGGCGATATGGAAGATAACTTTTAAGTTCAGTAATACTTTGTATTCCTAAATATTCCAATGCTTATATTATAAGCAATCACTTGCTGCTTATCAGTAATGGTATAACAGCATAAACTTTGCAATACTTTTGGGCTGATGGAAAACTGCAATTGAAGCAAATAAATCAACATGACATTTTATTTTTAATTAACAACTATATGATTACTGCTTTAATTTTATCTAGTTTAATTTACAAATGTACAGAGTTTTTTCATCAAATCGCAACCACAACAAATTATTAGTGCAATGACGCAAACACTTTTTGTAGCCTACTTTGAGGCTGACAACAATATCTGAAATATAAGTCCATCTTTAGTCGATAACTTCAATGCAAAAAATATATTAATAACATCGACTTCAATTATTCTTTAATAAATAAATAAAAAAGTTATTTCATCCGAAGTAGTAACTCAGGGCTATCAAAACAATCGAGACATGTGTGACTAGTAAAAATCAAAACTTAATGTCGGATGCATAACCAAAAGACAGTGGAAAAACTTACCAGCCAACGGCCAAACCGGAAGACAGGCACACGGAAAAGCCATGCTAATAAAAATTCCGTAAAAAAAACATTTCCTCTTGGCCTGAAACACAATTGGTAAAAATTGATAATATGATTATAAAAGAAGGTTCACCTCATTCAATGCCAAACACAGCAATATTGTGGATAATATCTGGCATAGCATTACCACAGTAATTCCGATAACAATATCTTGGTTAATGCTCCCGGAAAAGGTGTGATATTGGAACTGTCTTTTTTCGTGCTCGGGTGGATAATTTACTAAAGGAAACTATGAATATTATATAAGTATTTGGTAATACATGGCTTAACTAACAGTAACAGTCCATAATGTAGGCGTAAAACCCGAAACCGCCCAATAAGTTCCATGAGGCCAAAGTGGTGATGACAAACCAACGTTCATCCGGTCGACTTGGCATACTTTTTCTGAGTTTTCGGTTAAAAATAGTATATATTTGATATGTTAAATAAACTGAATCACTTTTGCCTGGCCTGCCCGAACGAAAATCAATTTAGCCAAAGGTTCAATGTACCTTTACGACAAGTGCGTGTCAGCTGGATGAAAAACTAATTGCGGCCATTAAGGCCACGCCCCTCTCGAGGGGGAGGTGGGTTGCTATGGGCAGCCGGTGTCCCAAACTTTGGCCGTAACTGGAGCACTCAATAAAATGGGAATTAGCCAGGCAGAGGCGGCATTAATGGGCTGCGATTGGGCTCCGGAATAGGGACTTCTCTATTGCCCCCGGAGGTGGCACCTTTGACACGCTTCCAAGTATCAATGCGATTTGTTTGCGGCACGCGAACAAACTTATTTTTTTCCAGCTGCAGTGCATCGGAAGTGAATTTGAGTCCTTTGACTGCGGCATGGTAATTGCGTTAATTTCACTCGAATTACATTTCCACATCATTGTTTTTGCCACGACGACCACGCCTCCTTTTTGGTGTCTTGCATGTTTGGCGGCACTTTTGTGGATTTTTCGAGTCCCTTGCCCCTTGAATCCTTCGAAAGTTGCATGTCGACAGCATTATTGTTTGCTTACAATTTACAGAAATTATCCCCGGACTTTGATTCACATAGAGAGAAAAACGTTTTCAAGTTTTTTGTTTGCATAAATAAAAATGACAAGTTCCGGAAAGTAATGTGCAATTAAAAAATTCTAACTGAATATTTTAGTAATTATGTAATAGAAATTAAATTTATTTCTTTTAAGTTTATTAAATTTATAATTTTAATAATTGAAATTTTAATTTACTCATATTTTCCATAAAAATTCATAACAAAATTTTGTCTGTGTTTGATAAAAAACATGCCCAGCTTAGTTCATTGACTCTGCTCTGCAATTACTTGGTCAACAATTAACAAATACATTTTAATGGATTGCGGCCACTAGAACGTCTATAATATCATCGTCCTCCAAGGCCAAAGAGTCGAAGGTGTCTTGATCCTGGATTTTTTCACCATCGAAGACCAGGATCAGGGAGCTAGGAGACACGTCGAATGCCTCGGCATATTTATTCTTGAGATGGTCAGCCAAAGGTTGATCGGTATTCACATGGCATTGCAGGTGATGTCCATCAATGGAGAGCAGCCAAAGGACTTTGCTCTGATGGGCCATTGTGTGGGCTATGAATTTAGTGATAGTATGCAGGAATCTGTTTATTAAGTGATAGTAGCCACGTGGCCTTCTGCTTGGCCGAATTCATTCATTTTTCGATTTTTGTTTGGAGCCACATCATCAGTGGCAGAAGGGCAGAGATTTACGATCAGTTTGCCGGTGAAGCGCTAACCAATAAATAAGACCAAAGAGACCCCCGATAAGATAATGGTTACTTTTAAGTAGCTGGGACTATTCCCAAGTCACCCTCACTCTTGTCTCATGTACTCATGTGTGGGTCAGCCTATCGCGCTCTAAAATCGATGGGCCATTCAAGGTGTAGACGTGGGTAAGTAACCCAGTACCCGGCAGAGTAGCCCCAAGCGCACCTTGGTCTTGAGTCATTATAAAAACCGATAAGGTATATAATAAGATAGTTAAAACCGTGATGTGATATGCCACGAAATATTTTACAAAATAATAAAGTCTTAGGCAATGTTAGTTTATAAAAACATATTAAAACCACGCATTATTAAAATCAGAAAACAATATTTAATATTGATTAGTTAAAAACAAGAAGTAAAACACAAAAATCAGGGGACATTTGTAACCATTTTTATCGGTTCCTGTTATTTATATTATTAATTTAAAAATGAAATGGCTGACCCAAAGCTGTGTAATTAAATCACTTAGCTTTGACTTAAACAAAACAAGTAGGCAGAGACTACTTAAACTTTGAACTAAAAGTACAATTAGTACAAAACATTATAGCCGCAAATGGGTTTAGTGAGCAAAGAGCATGGTGAAAGAGCATATTTTGAACCACTGTGCACGATAGCCAGCGCTATCTAAACGAATTTATAAATATAATATACGAACATATACTATAACGGCGACTGCGAATTTCGATAGAGCTTTGCGAGACAATTTGGGGAATGAGAAAACGCGACGGCAATCAGTTCTTCAGTGCCTTTGAGGGAGTACGGTCGTCTGTGCTTCGGATTTGGATTAGGATTCGGGATTATTATCTCTGGTGCGAGCTGCTAGGCTCATTTAAATTCAAAACGAACAGAAGCTAATTGCGGCGGCGGCCAGAATGAAGTGGCTGATAGTGTTTGGGCTGATTGTGGCCCTGTTCGGTGCTTTCGTGGGCTACGGCTACGTGGTGTTCACGGATCTAACCAAGCCCCTGCCCAAGCCGGAGTTCAAGGACAACACCTACTGGGGTCCTGGCGATGGCAAGGACTTCGTGCCCGACGAGAAGATCTACGAGTTCAAGCTGCAAGTGCCGCAGGCGGAGATCGATGATCTGCGCCAGCAACTCAACCGCACCCTGAAACTCACCGAACCGCTGGACGGGATTGCCTTTGAGTACGGATTCAACACCTATGCGCTGGAGCAGTTCGTGGACTACTGGCGGGACAAGTACCTGACCAAGTGGGATGAGCGCCAGGAGCTGTTCAATTCGTTCAAGCAGTACAAGACGGAAATTCAGGGGTGGGTAGACAAATGTATTCTCTTCGGATAGCATTTCAAAGTTGTATTTCCCCTGCAGTTTGAATATCCACTTCATTCACGAAAAGGCCTCTGAGGAAGCCAAGGCCAGGAAGCACGTGTATCCCCTGCTGCTGCTCCATGGCTGGCCAGGATCGGTCCGAGAGTTCTACGACTTTATTCCCATGCTCACCAAGGACCAAAACATCACGGACTACGCTTTCGAGGTGGTGGCACCTTCTCTGGTGGGCTACGGATGGTCTGATGTGAGTAACTGGTTTTGCCTTTTGGGGATTATGTTAGAGATATTCAAATTTCATATTTATAAGCTTTGGTCAATTGATAAATAGCATAATGGTTAACATCGAAAAGATAATCGAAAGAGCTATAAAAATGGGGGTATATATTTAAATATTATGTGATAACCCTTTTATCTTTCAGTAAAAGCAAATCCCATTAATAAATATTATTTTTCCCTAGGCTGCAACTCGTCCCGGATTCAATGCCGCCGAAATGGCCACCGTGATGAGGAACCTGATGCTCCGTCTGGGTCACAAGAAGTTCTTTGTCCAGGGTGGAGATTGGGGCAGCATCATTGGCAGCAACCTGGCTACTCTCTATCCGGAGAACGTGATCGGTTACCACTCGAACATGTGCGTCCTGCACTCCCCACTGGCCATTCTCAAGGGAATCTACGGCAGTTTCTACCCGGAGAAGTACCTGCCCTCCCGATTCTTTGTGGACCATCACTTCCCCGTGTGGGACAAATGGTTGGAGCTGCTGAAGGAGAGCGGCTACTTCCACATCCAGGCCACCAAGCCGGACACGATTGGAGCGGCTCTGACCTCCAGTCCCGTTGGTCTGGCCTCCTACATCCTGGAGAAGTTCCAGACCTGCACGAATCCCGGCCTGCAGCAGGACTTTGGCGCCATAGTCACGGTCTTTGGTCTGGAGGCAGTGCTGGATAACCTGATGGTCTACTACCTGACCAACTCGGCCACCACGGCGGCCCGTTTCTATCTGGAGAACGTGTCTAAGACGTACAGGGACCTGCAGCTGGACCGCGTCCAGTCTCCAGTTCCCATGGGCTGTGCCCGCTTCCGGTTCGACCTGCCCTCGGTGACCGACTGGCAGCTGAGGGACAAGTTCCCCAACCTGAAGCACTCGATGTACTTCCAGCAGGGCAGCCACTTCGCCGCCCTGGAGATGCCGGCCATGTTGTACAATGACTTCACCGCCTTTGCCGGAAAGATTGGTCTCCATGGTGAAACGAAGAAATAAATTGATTTTCTATTACTAGCAAACGATCTATTTACTTGAGCTCGGGCAAACTGACACAGCACTAAAATAATTAACCCGAGTGTAAGTCATAATATTTTTATGAGCTAAAAGCACACTTGTTTTTTAGTGCCTGTTCTAAATGTTTTTCAAGTATTCTATATAACTTTTAGGAGTGTTTTTCTTTTTTTTTCATAAATTGGTCCTGTGTGTATAATAATTTTTATTTCACACAGAAATATTGTGAAATATTAAAATCGTTTTTTAAATTTCTTTTAAAAGAAATATGCAATTTAAGCTCGATACTGTTAAGCAATAAAAACTAAATTGATATTTTATTTTTTATAAGAAAGAGCATTTCTAATGGTAGTCGTAAAATAAAACAAAATACTGATAATATTCCGGTTTTCTTGTTGAAATAAAGATTAACATAATCTGAGAAAAAGTAAACTTACAACATAAAATGTATAATATTTTAAATGTAGTACCAATAATTATTGATAAAAACAGTTTAGAAAATTGTATATAGTGTTAATCTGAGACAAGGTAACAGCAAAGAATGGTTTGCAGTTAAATTGGTTTTATTTTATCATTTTGAACTTTCGATCATTTTAAATGGATGTCTTAAAAAATGTAGAAAGGAATAGACATGAATAAATGGAAGAGTAAAACCCTTACCCAAGTTTTTGAAAAACAAGATAAGAATTTCAAGAATCTCATAAAAGATTACGATACGTTAACAAAAATGTTTGCAGCTTAGAACAATTTTTTTTTAATATATTCAAAAGTTTAGTATAAACTTGTTTTCGGAAATAAAATTTTAGATAATCGAAAAAAAAAAAGGCATAAACAACTGAATTCATAGATACCAATTGTTTGTAAAACAAGATAAGAATTTAAAAAAAAGATTACGATACGACATCCATAGTGTGTTAATAGTGCAAACAAACGCAAAGTGTTAACAATTATTTTGAAATGTAACCTATTTGTTGTCATTTAATAAATGCGATTGATTGTCTATAGTGATATATCAAAGCTTTCGCGTGCTGATAATTGAAATACATATTCATCATTATTTTATTTATTTGGTATTCAGTTTAATGCAATATAATTATTTACATTCTAAGCATGAATCGCTTCTGCTAAATTTAGTTTTACGCTTTTGAAACTTTGACTAGCCGATAAACGGAACTGCATGATCATCTTGAATAACTAATTTTAAATTCGTTCCATGACAAAAGCTCCTTTTAAATTTTTGTTTTTTCGCCTAATCATGCTCACATTGCAGTGCAGCTCATAATACGATCCACTTACGATCCACAAGCCGGCAGAAAGCTTTTGTTTGCCGGTTGTTTGGCCGTTTAAAATCATTTGTGCTTGGTGATCGCATACGAGCAGCTGTGCAGTTTGCTGAGGAGTCTCCAAATATATACATATATAAATATATATATACATATAATATAGTAGATCCACCATGGCGAATGTCTGGGTGAGGATCCTCATCGGAGGACTGACTATGCTTGTGGCCATCGGCTATAAAAACTATCGCGACCTTAAGGCTCCTGGAAAGAGGCCCGATCTGGACAACAATGCCTACTGGGGTCCAGCGTTAAAGGAACCTTATCGGGAAAATAAGGCCATCCTGCCCTACGACATCAGCGTGAAGCCAGAGGTAAGACTTATACATAGAAAAAAATAATAAATAAATATTAAAGACTAACTACATTAGACATTAAATTAGTTTTGTATGTTTAGTAAATCTCTATTTTATTGAGGGTCTTCACATTTTACACTTTTTTCTAATAATCTTAATCCATACCTCCAGGTAATTGAGGATCTGAAGAGCCAGCTGAGTCGTCCTTCGAAGGCTCAAGCGCCGCTGGAGGGTGTGGGATTCGAGTATGGTTTCAATGCCAATGAATTGGCCAAGGTGGTGAAATACTGGCGTGACACTTACTTGGCCAAGTGGACCGAACGCGAACAATACCTCAAGAAACTGGATCACTACCAGACGGAGATTCAGGGGTGAGTAGGGCAACACTAATGTCAATTCGTTGGTTCAATGCATAATAAGCTGCCGGCAAGTGGATCTGCATTTGCACATTAACCCCGAAAATTAACCCCAAATGCTTTACTCTTCTTTACGCAGCTTGAAAATTCACTTTATTCATGCCAAACCCACCCAGGTGAAGGGCCAGAAGCCCAAGAAGGTGCTGCCCCTGCTCCTGATGCACGGCTGGCCGGGAACCGTTCGCGAATTCTACGACTTCATTCCCCTGCTGACCACGCCGAGTGATAAGAGCGACTACGTCTTCGAGGTGATTGCACCCAGTCTGCCGGGCTATGGATGGTCTCAGGTTAGTATATCCCATCAACAGATTGAAATTTCTATTAAAATCTTACGAATTTGTTGTGCAATGGAAACAAATATATGTCATAAATATATTTTTCGCTTTGGAAGTGCATAACACATATAATTTATTCTGAAAATAAATTTCATATTCTAGCTTATAAATTGTAAGATTTGTTGTAAACAGCCTGGCAGTTTCTACTTAACTTAACACGTTATTAAATTTGATGTAATTGATTACACCCGATTAGGGTAGAAAATATTTAAACTTTCAAAATTAATGATCATTTTTTTAATACTTACTTACTACTTACCATTTCCAGGGCTCTTCAAAAACTGGATTCGGCGTGGCCCAAGTGGCCGTGGTAATGCGCAACCTGATGCTCCGAGTGGGATTCAATAAGTTCCTGGTGCAGGGTGGCGACTGGGGTTCGATAATTGGATCCAATGTAGCCTCCCTTTTCCCGGAGAACGTATTGGGTTACCATTCGAACATGTGCGGAAACAACAGCCCCTTGGGACAGATCAAGTTGGTGCTGGCGTCGTTCTTCCCCAGCTGGTTTGTGGACAGTCAGCACGCCAGTTTCTACAAGGGATTGGGACACATGTTCAGCACCATTTTGGAGGAAATGGGATATGCCCATATTCAGGCCTCCAAGCCGGACACCATCGGCAATGCCCTGATCGACAATCCAGCTGGACTGGCTGCCTATATTCTGGAGAAGTTCTCCACGTGGACGAATCCCTCATTCAGATCGCTTCCCGATGGCGGACTAACCAAGAGGTTCACATACGATCAGCTTTTGGACAATGTGATGATCTATTACGTGACCAATTCCATTACCACCTCCGTGCGTCTGTACTCGGAATCCATGGTTGCGTCGCAGTTCGCCTTGGCCGTAGATAGCTTGCCCATCAAGGCCAAGTCTGGATGCACTCGTTTTGCCCATGAGATCGTCCACACTTCCGACTCGGTTTTGGCCAACAAGTTCCCGAACCTGGTGCACAGTACCCACCACTCGGATGGCGGTCACTTCCCGGCATTTGAGCTGCCCCAGCAGCTGTACGATGACTTCGTTAGTTTTGTCCAGAAAGCTGATTTGTCCTGAAAGACTTTATTTGTAATTAGTTATACGAGTGCATTGTAAATTTCTATTCTGAAGCGACAGTGTCTGTTGCGAAAATTAAAAGAAATCGGGTTGGTGATTGAAGTTGCCTTATCTGCTTTTAAAACCGAAAGTTGAAGAGTTTTTGTTTGGAAACTTTGATAAGTGATATTGGTGAGAACGAGGGGGCAGTTTGTTTTTGGTATATAGGTATACATACAAAGATAAATCTAAGCTCGAAACATTCTTACGTAACTTTCACTGATTGTCTGTAGTCGACTTGGATGTACCCTTTCTAAAATCATTTTTAAATCCATTAGTTTTTGATAGAAGTTAGGAAGCTTCAATGATTAATGTTGGACTATACAATCTATACAATTCAAAGACATGAAAGCTTTCACTTTATGACAAAGCGAGGGTACCTTAAACCAGATTAAAAATAGAGGGTATATCTACCTAACCTGGAACCCCAGCTGCGTCGCAAATTTCAATATGTATATGTACATATGAATACAACCCAGACAACCCTCCGATCGTTCCCCCAAAAAGCTTCAAACATAAACACGGCACAAAAGCTTTGCTGACTGAATAAACAAACAAGCTGCTCCAGCCCAGTCATCCTCGATTTAAGAAGCCGCTACGGCGTCTCAGTAGAGTCCAAAGTGAGCCCGCCGATAAGCCTTAACTGATCGGCAGTAGGGCGGTCAACCAAAGTCGCTTATCATCGTGAGCGACGAAAACGAGAGCTGTGGCCGCGATGATATGTTAGAATAGTCGGAATTGGAGCTGCAATCCCAGTCAGTGTGAGTGGATCCGCCGATAGCAAAGGATGGGTGTCACGGTTAAAATTCTGGTCTTGCTATTGGCCATCGGAGGCGGATTGGTCTACAAGAATGTGAGCCAACTATGGGCGGACTTGCCCGTTCCCCAGCTGGATCCTCAGCAGTGGTGGGGCGATGAGGCGGAGCCGAAGGACTATGCCGCCTACTTGGCCAACAGCTCGGAGGTGATAGGCAACAGGCTTAGTTACCCGGAGAAGGTGAGTGGGGCTATCTGTTATTGAGTTTCTTAACTATATACATATTTTACACATACCATCTCCAGACCATTGCTGATTTGAAGAGCCGCCTCAACCGCACCCTGCGCCTTACGCCTCCCCTCGAAGGCGTGGCTTTTGAATACGGATTTAATACGGATTACCTAAAGGAGGTCGTGGAATACTGGCGTGATGACTACCTGCCTCGTTGGCGCGAACGCGAGGTGTTCCTGTGGCAGTTCAACCACTTCACCACCGACATTCAGGGGTGAGATAAGAGCGGCACTTATCATATCCACAGATAGTACGATGGGTTTTGGTTACGGATTTTTAGGCTACGCATGCACTTCCTCCACCTGATGGTTTACGATGACAACAAAGTGGGCAAGAAGCACTATCCGGTGTTGTTGCTGCACGGCTGGCCGGGATCGGTGCGGGAGTTCTACGACCTCATCCATTTGCTGCACCAGAGTAACCTGGACGAGAACAACAAGTACATCTTCAACGTGGTGGTGCCCAGTTTGCCGGGCTATGGTTGGTCACAGGTGGGTTTTATGCTTGATTGTGGGACTCTTCATATAGTAATACTCTCTAATCCTGCAGGGAACCTCGAGAAAGGGTCTGGGTCCAGCTCAAGTGGCCGTGATAATGAGGAATCTTATGCTGCGCTTGGGGTACAACAAGTTCTTTATTCAGGGTGGAGATTGGGGCAGCATCATTGGCAGCAACATGGCCACCCTATATCCGGATAATGTGCTGGGTTACCACTCGAATTTGTGCAACAATCTGAGTCCCAAAGCCATGCTTAAAGGTTTTGCGGCTGGTTTTTGGCCCAGTTTGTTTGTGCCCTCCGGTTTTGAGGACTTTTTCTTCCCGAAGTCAAACGAGCTGAAGTACCTAATGGAGGAGAGTGGCTACTTCCACATCCAGGCCACCAAGCCGGACACCATTGGAGCCGCACTCACCGATAATCCAGTGGGACTGGCCGCCTACATTCTCGAAAAGTTCTCCACGTGGACAAATCCCAGCTATCGATCGCTCCCCGATGGAGGACTCACAAAGCGCTATAAAATGGACGCCCTCCTGGACAACCTGATGATCTACTACCTGACCAACTCGATCACCACCTCGCAGCGTCTGTACGCGGAGCAGTACGCCCAGGAGCAGCGGGACTTGCACCTGGAGAGGGTTCCCACTCCAGTGCCCACGGGATGTGCGCGGTTCAAGAGCGACATTATGCAGTTCCTGGACATCCAGTTGCAGGACAAGTTCACCAACCTGGTGCACAGCACATACCACAAACAGGGGGGACACTTTGCCGCTCTAGAGGTTCCAAAGGTGCTCTACCAAGACTTTATTGAGTTTGTAAAAAAGGTGGAACGCAAATTTAGAATTAAGTCACTGTAAGTGTTGTTTCCAATAAAGGCAAATGTTTTCTTTAAAAAAGGCGGTTTTCAGCTGATATCGATAACATAACTGGTTTTGATCCTGGACGGATTTCGGAAGGGTACCATTTATTGTACCTAATAGGGTCTTAAAATAAAGGCATTACACATTATTTTAAAATGTGTATACGTATATTTTTCCTATGCCCAATTAACTTTTAAATTTAAAAAAAATTAATGGTGATCAGAAATATATTATTCAATTTAATATTCAAGATATTATTATATTATTAATTACTAATATTATTATTCATTAACTTTTTTAATCAAATCGAATTAAAATTTTCTTATATATCAAGACTATCAGTTAAGAAAAATAAATTTTTAGGCATATAGTTATTTGGTTTTAAAACATTTTTCACATTTAAAAAATGATATATGAAAAAATACTGAAAAGGGTACCTGGTTATGTACCTAGGGACTCGCGTTTAGTAACCTCCCATCACTGATCCTGGAAACATTACAATCGGGAATCGGAGTTAAAGAAATTGCAAAACCTTTCGATTAGGACTAATTAGTTCAGTAAAACAAGCATATATTATTAATTCATTATTTTGTGTGAGAAGCAGAGCAGGCTGGTCCATAAGCTCACTGAATAGTCTAATACATTACGACCCATAAAATATCAAAGAGTGAGCACTAACGATCGGAGACAAAGAACCTATTAAAGGAAAAAGGAGTAACAGTAAAAGGGTGACATTTTCTACGATCCAAGAAGAACAATGACTGACCTAAAGATGACCGTGGCCTTAACAAGCGTCAATGGAGAAAATATGTCCCGGCACGATATGCTCCAGTGGGTTAACAACATGGTTCAGGGCCACTTTAAAAAAATTGAGGAGCTCTGTTCTGGTAAATAAAAAAGACAAAATATGTACTTTTCCTAAGCTAACAGCAATGATTTCCCCAAGGTGCCGCCTATTGCCAGATGATGGAGATGATCTTTCCCAATTGTATTAACCTGAAGCGCGTTAAGATGACCGCCAAACTGGAGCACGAGTATCTCCACAATCTTAGACTCTTTCAGGAAGCTTTCAATCGCCTAAAACTGGACAAAACTGTACCCATCGATCGCCTGATCAAAGGACGGTTCCAGGACAACTTCGAGTTCTTGCAGTGGTTCAAGAAGTTCTTCGATTCGCAGGCACCGGGTCTGGAGAACATCAAGTCCTTGGCCAATGCACCGGTGATCAAGCCCATCAAGCCGCGTGTTTTCGCCAAGGATCAATCTCCAGTCAACGCCAGTGAGGATGCCCTCAAGGAACTGATTGGTGACATGCAGACCCTAAGCCTAAGGAGAGACGACATTATGGAGGAAACTAATCAGTGCTTCAACAAGTTGCGCTTGGTCGAGGATCTGGTGAACGACATGTTCAACGACAACAAGCATGTGGAGTTGTGTAAACGTATTCAGGCGGTGCTCTATAAAACGATAGATGGTGCTATAAACGAGGAACCCATCGAATCAAATCCGGATAATGGAGACGTTAAAGCCGCGGATGAAAATGAAGGATTGTATTAGGATTTTTTTGGTACTGCGTTCTGTTTTTATCATTATTGTATTATGTATAAACAAATCACTTGTGAATTCAGCCGTTTGAGTCATTGTCTGAGGAGGAATAGTCCCCAACCAAGCTCTGGGATTTTCCATTCGAGGTAGAGGCTTTAGCTTCGTCTAACTTTCTGCGCCTTATGCCCAGATCCTGTAGTTGAAGCTGGTTGCTTAGCGCCTTTTGTCGCTTGAGGCCGCCAAAAGTGGTGACTGTTGCTCCAGGCAGCGCTGGACGCATGAGGAGCTCCAGCCGCTGCTCAGATTCCCTTTCCAGAGCCGACTTGGTCTGCAACTTCATCAGGGCGGCCATTTCCCGGTCCTGACTAGTTTCCGGCAGAAGGGCAATATCCAAACTGCTCTTGGCCAGCAGCTGACGGTCCTGTTCCTGCTGACCCTTGATCTCCTGCTTTTGATGGCGGAACTCGGCGCGCAGGCGACAATTGGCCATGTAGCTGTCATCCCAAACACTCATATTGCGCTCCACCAGCTTCTGGAGCACCGGTTTGGCGTCCGCCGCTGCCTTAGCGTCCTTGGCTTGATGTTCCAGCTTGTACATGGCATCGTCGAAGAGGCGCTTCTGCACCTCTTTGGTTTCTGGCACCACCTGCTCGTTCTGCAAGGGATCCCAGCGGTTCTCCTGCCGTCGTGCCCCTGAGAGTATAACATAGTCCAGATTGCCGGGATCCGTCTGAATCTCGAAGTGATTGTCACACAAATGGCATTTCATCCGGAATTTAAAGATGGGCGTAGTGTAGTACATTCCCACCTTGGTCTTTTCCGCGTTGTAGCGTACGCCCATGCCGATGTGGTTCTTGCATCCGTCGCACCAGATATTGTAGGGCATCTCGAAGCGGATAATGATGATCCCCAGGTGGATCTTGCGGGCACGTTCCCGCAGGGCATGGGTGCCCTGGAACTTGTTGAGGCCGCCCTTTTTCGGGTCATAGTCAGGCGGGTAGTATTTGTTCTGACCCTTGCGTTCACCCATTTTGCAAGTGCTTAGAGTTGATTTTCCTTAAGTTAATTAAAAGATTGGTTCTCCGGTACAAAATGTAAATATAAACGTTTGTGTTTATCTGGCAAAAGCTGAATGCTATACAACTGAGAAAAAGACAGCTGTTTCGAAGCCGCTAGTGGTGGCCCTAGCAGGTAATCGAAGAGAAACCTTGCAATGGAAATATGCTCTTATCGTCGGCGCTTTTAGGACTTATAATTGTGGGGCATTTTAATGTATACACTTCGTTTACCTCACAACATATACAAAAGAAACATTTTCAAGTTGGTAGCTATCGCGAGATTTGCAAAAAGGCAAAAGAAGCTAGAACAAAAATCGATAACAACACCGACGGCGTGACAGCTCGTCCCATCTCTAAAAAAATAGTTTCTCGTGGGCATCCGTAATTTGGTTGGATTATTAACTCTTTTTGCCACGTAAATTGAATTAAAAGTAGCACACGATCCCGGCAAGATGATAATCTACACGAACGAAGGCAATCCGCTGGGACTGCAGCTGCTGATGCTGGCCAAATTCGCCAAGCGGCCGGTGCAGGTGCAGTTGGTTAACCTAAATGGTGAGTTCCTCCTTGGGTTCTTAACGAATTCTGGGGAAACGCACTCAAGTGACTCATTTCTGATGCAATAACTGTTGGCCATTGCAGATGTCAAATACAAGGATTTGCTGGCACTGCCCACTTTGGAACTGGACAGTGGATTGCGCCTGTTCTCGCCAGCCGCCATTGCCAAGTATCTTCTGGTGGATGAGGGGCAGTTGAGGGACGAGGTAGGGCTCCCAAAAATTACTTATTGGGCCGCGACCCCTGAAGGTTAAACTAATTTGTGTTTGCTTCCCCGCAGTGGCTGGAGTGGTCTGCCACGTTGCTGGCTCCTGCTTTGGCCCACCACATGGCCGTGGGCCACAAGGCGGATGCCAACGCGTTGCCCGTGCTGAATGCTCTGGTCAAGAAACTGGATGACAGCCTGAAATCCTCGCCCTTCCTGGCAGGCGACAAACTCAGTGCCGCCGATATCGCCGTGTGGTCGCTTCTGGCTCCAGATGGCACCCTCAAGGGAGCCCAGAACGTGGACAGCTTGAGGGATTGGTATGGTAGGATCAAAGCCCTGCCCGAGGTGCAGCAAGTCCTTGCCGAACAGCCGCTGAAGGATCTTACCTTTAATGCTCTTCAGCAGTCCAACCGATACGGCGGACTGCATCATGTCCCACTGAAACGTCTGAGCCTGGCGGATGCGGGCAAACTGCTGGTGGATACCACGCCCACGGTGGCGGATACTGTTACGGATGAGGAGATCTCCGCGGCAAAAGCTGCCTTCACATACACAGCTCCCAAGGAAATTAAGGAGCAGAAAACTGTGCTTCCCAAAGCTGGTGAACGCAACGTCCTCATCACCTCGGCTCTTCCGTACGTCAACAATGTGCCACATTTGGGCAACATCATTGGTTGTGTGCTGTCTGCGGATATCTATGCCCGTTACTCGCGTTCCGCTGGGTACAACACACTGCTGATTTGCGGCACAGATGAGTACGGCACAGCGACGGAGAATAAGGCATTGGCCGAGAACCTGACTCCTCGAGAGATCTGCGACAAGTACTTTGAGCTGCACAACGCCATTTACCGCTGGTTCGGCATTGGTTTTGATTATTTTGGACGCACCACAACCCAGGAGCAAACAGAGTGAGTCTCAGCTTCCTAAACTAAAGATTCCCAACTAAATGTATTTCGTTTTACCTAGCATTGTGCAAGAGGCATTCAAGGATGTTCTTAAATCTGGCTACATCATCACAGAAAGCGTAGAGCAGCTGCTCTGCCAGAAGTGCGATCGTTTCTTGGCTGATCGGTGAGTTTAACCTCTTTTCTATTCGCAACTCTTAACTGAGTTTGAAAATTCTTGCAGATTTGTAGAGGGTACTTGCCCGCATCTTGGTTGTGGCTACGAGGATGCCCGTGGCGATCAGTGCGACAAGTGCGGCAAGCTGGTGAATGCCACTGAACTGATCCGTCCCCGGTGTAAGGTGTGCAACAGCGCCCCTGTGCTGCGTTCCTCCGATCAGTTGTTCATCGATCTGCCGAAGGCGGAACCACAGCTCAAGGAATGGGTGGACAAGTCTGAAGGAGGATGGACCCACAACGCCAAGGTCATTACAAGAGCGTGGCTGAAGGAAGGTCTCAAGCCGCGCTGCATCACCCGCGACCTGAAGTGGGGAATCCCCGTGCCGCATGAGGGTTTCGAAAAGAAGGTCTTCTACGTGTGGTTCGATGCTCCATTCGGCTATGTGTCCATGACCAAGCGGTATACCAAGGAGTACCAACAGTGGTGGCAGCCAGCTAAGGGCACGGACGTGGAGCTCTTCCAATTCATGGCCAAGGACAACGTGCCATTCCACTCTGTGGTGTGGCCCAGTGTCCTGCTCGCTATTAACAAGGGCCACACGCTGGTCTCTCACATCATGGCCACCGAATATCTTAACTACGAGGACGGCAAGTTCAGCAAGAGCCGTGGTATTGGTGTCTTTGGCAACGATGCTCAGGAGACGGGCATTCCAGCTGATGTCTGGCGTTTCTATTTGGCCTCCGCCCGGCCCGAAGGTCAGGATTCCAGCTTCAGTTGGAATGATCTCGCTGCCCGCAACAACTCAGAGCTGCTGAATAACTTGGGAAACTTTGTGAACCGCGCTTTAGTATTCTGCGAAAAGAACTTCAACAGCACTGTTCCAGAAGTGGCTACCACTCAAGATGAACTCGTGCTGCTGGCTTTAATCAACCGCGAGCTAAAGGGCTATATCAACTCCCTGGAGAAGGCAAAGCTGCGAGACGGCATCCGTCATTTGTTGGCTATTTCCCGACATGGCAATGGCTACATGCAGACCCAGCAACCGTGGGTCCTGCTGAAGGGCAGCGATGATCAAAAGAAGCGAGCATCTACCATAATTGCTCTGTGTGTCAACATTGCATGCCTTTTGGCGAATCTCCTCTTCCCTTACATGCCAACAACGGCCAGGACACTTTTCGGTCAACTCAATGCCAAACAGACGCCGCTCAATGCAGAGTAAGTGGTTATTTAGTTGACAAATGAGTTTGTTCTAATCTTGTGTTTTACCCCAGGAAACCCCTTGCCACTTTGCTACTTCCCGCTGGTCACAAAATCGGCAAACCTGCTCCACTCTTCGCCAAGCTCGAGCAGTCGTTCATTGATGAGCTTAAGGGCAAGTATGGCGGAGCCCAAGAAACAAAGGCTGCTGCCCAAAGTCAACCCAGTGCAGCTGATTTGGAGCAAGCTGTGCAGGCTCAAGCAGATAAAGTGCGTCAGCTTAAGGCGAGCACAAAGGACAAGGCTGTGTGGCAACCGGAGGTGACCAAACTGCTGGAACTCAAGAAACAGTTGGAGGGGGCTAAGAAGACCGCTCCTAACCCCGCTCCGGCTCCCGCTCCTACTTCTTCGAATGGCGTACAATCAGTGCAAGATCTGGAGAAGGCTATCCAGGAGCAGGGTGACAAAGTGCGCAGGCTGAAGGGCAGCACAAAAGACAAAGCCGTTTGGCAGCCAGAGGTAAACATCCTGCTGGACCTCAAGAAGAAACTGGAAGCGGCTCAAAAGGCAGCCAAGGCGGGTCCTGCCGCTGCAGTTCCTGCTCCATCCGCCGCGCCCTCTGCAGACGCTGGCCAAGTAAAAGCGTTGGAAGACAAAATTGCTCAGCAGGCCGAGAAGGTCAGGACCCTGAAGGCCTCAGGTGATGCCTCCGTGTGGAAGCCCGAAGTTGATGCTCTCTTGGCCCTGAAAAACCAACTGACGGCACTGACTGGAATACCAGCCGCCGGTAGTCAGGGCAAGAGCAAGAAGAAGAAGTAGGGCTTGTGCCCCATAGCACTTTATAACTTATAACCACGCTGGACTTTTTACCTCAACTCTTCTAATCACTCATTCGATGGCAAAACTTAGTCACGAACTGGCACAGTTCTATTCATCTCTTTTAAGTTATGCGTCTTGCATTTAAAAAACTTTTGTATTTATTTGAAGTATGGCTAAATAT